GCAGCTATGTCTTTTATAATGTATTTTTCCAAATTGTAATCATTTTCATTTAGAGGTAGGTACCCGTTAACATTCTGTGTACCATAGAGTTAAAGCTTGCTATTTTATGTTGCCACGGTGAATTTGAGTCAGCAGGAATAACAAGATCTGTTTGAGTGGCTTTTCTATAAATTTTAAAATAATGTTTGTCGTTGTTTTTTCCAATTGTTAAGTTGAGAAAATTAATTTAATCTTTTTGTATTTCCATTGTCAATTTTATTTTCTTGGATATTGTGTTTAAATAGGATAAAAAGTCAGTGCATGATTTTTCATTTCCTTTGAATAGACATAATGTCATCTACATATCTGTGCCAATATATTATGTTTTTCTTATGAGGGTTATTTTTGTTCATTATCTTATTTTTTCTAAGTCATTCAAATATATGTCAGCTAATAGACTAGAAAGTGGTGAGCCCATCGCTAGACCATCACATTGTTTGTACATTTTAGAATCATATTATATATATATATAGGCCTATATACATAAAAATTTAAAATGAATGGATGGTGTTTTTGGCCTCTGGGGACATCAAAATGAAAAAGTAAATCTGCTATACCAGCTGATCACCTGGTGTTTATTTTCTAATGTTTGTTTATGTTTGTATTTTACAGTTTAGTTTACAGTTTACATCTTTAATAAAATGAGTTAGGCCTACTTAAATTATTAGAATCTATTCTTTTATTTAAACACAACAAAATCGGTCCCAGGCCTAGTTCTTACCATGCCACCTACGGTAATAGCTACTTTCCTATAGGGAAATTCGCTAAGAAACATATAAATTGTTTCTACCTACTAAAACACATAACAACAAATTATATACAGTACAACCTTGTAGAATGAAACATAGAGGAACATATATTGGCATACAAGTAATTACAGTAATGTCACTTTTACGGACCCATAAATTTGAATTTTCAATAGATGGCATCTTATTTTCGCCTTATGTAGGTTTGAATCGCTCTAAATGTTTTTGAATTATGATGAAATCTCACTTTGAAATACCGGTATTTCTTACATATTGCCTTCATCAGAAGCTACTTTAAAATTACCAGAAATTTCAATACAAAAAAACTAACAATAGGTAATTGACATTTAAAACCAAAAAAATACATTTAGGCGTATTTGAAATACTAATTCATTTGCTACACTAGGCCTATTATATTCTTTCAATTTTTTTTAATGTGTTCAGAGTGTACCAAAAATGGTGGTGGTTGGCGCTTTACCTGATTGGGGAGAGCATTATACAAGGCGGGACCAAAGTATGAGAAGGCGCGCCTCCCCACTTCTTGCCTGACTCTAAGAAAGTGCAACAACTTGTCCTGCCTCGTGCTGCGGACAGAGACATCTTGGCGAGAGAGAAGTCTCTCACACGAGGTATTCAGGCTGGCCGAGCTCTAGGGCTTTATGTATCAGGCTGCAGGTTAGGTATATACAAGTCTCTTTAATTGGCATAATGTGTGCAGCGTTTCTGTAAGGACTTATGTGATCTCTTCTCCTACAATTATAAATGTACCTATCTAATTAGAATGTGTTTTGTAGTCGTTGGATTTCATTTAGGTCACCTTTTGTAATACTATTTACGTAAGTGGACAACAATAATCAAATACTGACAATACCGGTAACTTAGGCCTACCAAGGCCCTTAAGTTAATAGTTTTATTTTGGCGCTCTCTGGTAAAATCCCTTTCAATCTAGGCTATATAGACCTCGCAGCCAGACAAGGGCTTGCTGACACATGAGGTTTAGATGGTCAGATAGCGTCAGGTCTTCATCGATAGTCACTCCAAGTGTTTTTAATTTCTCGCATAAGTTAAATTAAAAAACAGTGTTAGGGGGGGGGGGGGCATGCATTAGTAATATAATAGGGATCTGTATATTTCAACAGACCAGAAACTAAAATGGTGTGTTTAATAATGGTGAGTGTATGGGCTTCTGCCAGTACCTAACTTCTAGGTACCTTAGTACCTTAGTAGATAAGTAGTCGGTATTTATTCCGTATAGGTGCCTCCAAACGAATTGTTAATTTTGATATCTTACTTTATAGTTTTTTACCTCCTGAATCCAAATATACCATTATTTTTCACCGCTGATGAATATTTCTCAAGATATCGCCGTAAAAACATACAACATTACAATAAACAAGGTAGGATGGATAACATTTCAAGTGATACTGTATTCAATAATGTTTTCTATAATAGGAATTTCGTCACATTATGGAGATCTAGATGGACTGGTGGACTAATTACATGTAATTCTTATTTAGGCATCTCAGGGTGGTAGGTCGTGCTGTATGTGAATTGGTGACTGCGTTAAGTGTTTTGAAGTTAGGTTAGATTAGGAAGGTAAAGTTTAGGTTATAATGTATCAAGTTGTTAGTTTATGTTGCTTGCAGACTGTTTTTGTAAAATTAAAATCCTGAGAAAAACACAAAGTACTTTTCAAAAATGCTTGCATTTTTGAAATAGTAATTTGAAGTGTTTTTTTCTGGATTTTAATTTTACAAAAACAGTCTGCATGCGACATAAACTAACAACTTGATACATTATAACCTAAACTTTAACTTACCTAATCTAACCTAACTTAAAAACACTTAACGCAGTCACCAATTCACATACAGCACGACCTACCACCCTGACATGCCTTTCCTGACATCAAAAGGAGTTTGCTTACATTCTAGAGGTTTGGTTAGGTTAGGTTATGTTAGAATAGCACCATTTTATTATGTAATTTCTAAACGGCGAAATATAGGCCTAAATCAATAGGCCTAAATCATTAATAATGATAAAATACTGGTAACAATAATACATTATTAACTTATTGGCCTTAGAAAGTGAAAAGTGTAACTTAATCAGGTGATTTTCATATTGCAGAATCAGAGTTAAGTTAGCTAATTAAAGTTGTCCTTTCCATTTGCTTGACTATGGGGATTCGCCACTGAAAAGGGTGATTTTTTTTATTTAATGAAGAAAGTCGTCAAACTATTTTTTTTCTAGTAGGGTATATATAGTTTAACAAAAAATTGAAAAATTTTGGATTACTTCTAACTTAAATATTTAAATTATAGGTGGTAAAAAAATAAAATAGAGGTTTTTCGGTCAATTTGTAAGGGATTTTAAAAATCGATATTCTGAAGAGAGTTCTTTATGGATTTTGATAAATTTGGTGTTTTTTTAAAGACAGGTACATATAAACTTAATATTTAGGTAGATTCTTAATACTGTAATATCTCAGATACTTTTTTTGCTGTGACACATTAAATATAGTTTTTTCTTTAAAAAAAAAAAAAGTTGATTTAAAAAAAATAGTTATTTGTGTAACTAGTGGTGAAAGTGGCACTTTGCTGCACACGAGAGCAATGTTTACGCACGAGCCGCAGGCGAGTGCGGAATGATCTCGAGTGCAGCAAAGGCCTTTTTCACTCGTGTTACACATTATATTTTTCCTACAGTCACTATAAAACATAAATAATTAGTCTTTCAAATACTATACCGTACAACACGTTTTTAGGTTCAGCTAGCAACACAATTACACAAATGGTGCCCTGGAGAAAGTAGTACCCGTGGTCCGTATCACTCCGCTATTTTTCCTCGGCAAGAAATGTGCTCCGTCTTTTGAGAATATAGTTCCGTATGTTTTTGTAATTTGAAGTGGTTTCCGCGCCTAAAAAAAATGCTTTAAAGGTATTTTCTTGTTTATTAAGACCGTAGGAATGTTTTAAAAACGTTTAAAAGAAAAGTCCAGAAAGTTCAGAAATACCAAAACTATAAACACGAAATGACAGGTTAAATCTTAGTTATAATAGTCAATCAGCTGTTCATAGTATTATTATCTTTAAGTGTTGCCAACCTATTTCCAAGCGTACACGGATTACGTGCATAATAAAACCACGCTGTTTTGTGTTGTTTGGTTGGAATCCTGATGTGCGGCAAAGTATAAACCGTGCGGCAAAGTATAAACCGTACGGCAAAGTATAAATATGCAGCAATTAGCAGCTTTCTGTACTATAAACAGTACAGGGAAGCCAACTTTGTCGGGTGACGGTAGGAAAAAATATTTTTCACTCCATAATCAACTTAGATACCTAATTCTACCTAAATATTTTCCTAATATTGTCTAGAATAAGTAGGTAGTAAAAATTTCAACATTGTACCTTTAGTGGCTCTCAAGATATATCGCATTTTTTCTTGAAAAACGTGAATTTTCAATGTTGCAGAAAACCGCGTTTGAATAAGAAGGTGTCCTATGATCATGTAGGTAGCTATCGTAAAGAGCGAAACCCGTTATTTATAACATATAATAACATTCAGACATGGATTATATCATACCGTACTGTTTGGATGTAATAGGGTCCAATGTACAAAGAAATTAAACAAAATATTTTTTTAAATTTTCATGATTTTAACCTATTTTCAGTGGCAAATCCCCTTAACCCATATTAGTTCATTCCACTTGTAAATGTCATCCATCCTACCTTGTTTATTGTAATTTTGTATATTAGTACGGCGATATCTTGAGAAATATTCATCAGCTGTGAAAAATAATGGTATATTTGGATTCAGGAGGTAAAAAACTATAAAGTAAGATATCAAAATTAAAAATTTGTTTGGAGGCACCCATACGGAATAATTACCAAGTAGTCTCTTATCTAAGTAAGTAGATCTAAGATCTAGATCTAAGTAGATCTAGATAAGTAGATCTTAGTAGGTAGCCTAAGTACATAAGTTAGTTAAAATTTTAATTGACCCCATTCAATGTACACATGTATAAATAATGAATATAAAGTTATCTTGAATCTTGAATCTTAGGGAGTGGATTGGAGCTATACTGTGCAAAACTGAGCCAGCGATCCATGAGTTGTTTATATCGTTGGTTAACACAATAGTCCAAGCCCTAAATTAGGCTTAATACAAAGTATGAAAGGATGATAAACTTATCCATTTATTGCAGAATTGTATACTTACTCGAGATGTATTTCTTGCTGGGACTGAAGGGATTCTCCTAATATGCATCCTCTGTCGTCCACAATCGCACAACCTGTATCATCACAACTAGTTTCGATTCCCAACACCGTAAAAGGTCTTTTGCTAGTAGGCATAACACTTGTTGTTTGTTTTGCACCGCTGGAACAATTATTATATAAAACTGGATGTAATTGAATCTTATGAAAATATTTTAAGCGCCCCAACATTGTTGTATGAAGCGTGTCTACTTAAAAGTCAAACAACTAGATTAGGCCTATCTCTCCTTTCGGTTTCACAGACTAACCTCAAAAAATAGTTTAATCGTAATCCCATTGCTTTAAAACCCACACTCACTTAGTTCTTCCCTTAATTATCAGTTTATAAAAATAGCTTTTTACTTTCTTCTATTTGTATCAAAAGTATCAGTTTGACTGAAAAAAAAACACAAACTTGGTAATTGAATTAAATCAACATAACTTACGATACAATTAGGCAATAACACCGTCGTGAAGTTGGTATTTACTCAGGGGAGGTATAGAAGAGGCTACGATGACAGCTGAGGGCTTCTTACTAGCTGAGGGAACTAGCCATTACCGTAACAAAACGTTAAACAGCCATCGGCCTCGGTGGTCTATTGGTTAGCATGCCGGGCTAATATACTATAGGTCCCGGGTTCAAATCCTGCTGGTAGCATTAACTTTTTGTCCAAGATTTTTTTATTATCAGCAAGTTTGGTTGGTTTGGTTTGGTTATTACAGTTTAATTTTATTATTAAGTCATTACAAAATTTTAATAATTAAACAATTTCTAGTTTTATTTAATAAAAAGAAATATTTTTCCGATTACTAAACTTTTGTTATACTATTTCTTTATCAGCAAGTTTGGTTAGTTCGGTTAGGTTATGATAGTTTAATTTTATAATTAAAAAATAGTAAAATTGAATTTGAGGCATTTATAATTTTATTTTATGAACAGAACTATTTTTGCGACTAGTAAACCTTCATTGCCAAAGTGCTCTCTACTACAGCGCTGTTCACGGAGGAATTTTGAACTAAATGCCTCATTTGTACCTCCCCTAAGTCAGACCGAGTGAAGTTAGCGGCTGTTTTTCTAGGAGACCTTGCCGGTTGCCGTCAATGCCGTCAGCGCCCTTTTTTTCGTCCGTCTAGAAACGGGACGGGTCGCTGTCAATGCGCCACCACGTCAAACCGCCACCTCGGTGTTTTGGTCAGAGGCGTCAACCCACCACCACAAAAAAACCGAGGTGGTGGGTTGACGTGTACGTACAGGTCAACCCGCCACCTCGACAACAGGCCACCACGACAACCCACCACCACACAATTTTCCGAGGTGGCGGGTTGTCGTACACACTCAAGTCAATGAGCCACCACGACAACATGCCACCACGACAACCCGCCAACACCAGTTTTTATCAGAGGTGGTGGGTTGTCGTGAAGCTCCATGTTCGATATCGGCAACCCGCCACCTCGTACGTAGGCGACAACGTGCCACCCCGTCAACCCGCCACCACTCTTTTACGAGGTGGCGGGTTGACGTGTACGCTCAGTGTTCAGTGCCGTCAACGCGCCACCTCGATCATAGGCGACAACGTGCCACCTCGACAACCCACCACCTCGCGGTTTGATTTATCAATAAAAAAAATCGGTTGGATTTATATTCTGTAGCATTGTTGTACTTTGATTCAGTTAATTTAGAGAAAGTTAATGTACCTAACTCTTAAATAGCATTTCTGGACATTTTAGTTTATTTTTGGAAGAAAGATTGATAGGTAATACAATTATTAACATGGTGAAAACCCGACATTTGAAAGGGTCTCACGCCCTTAAGGGTAGGAACTTTTAAATTCTAAAACCATAATGCAAAACTACGAATTGGTCCGAATCCTTTAACACCAAAACCTTAAACGTTGAAATTTGTCCACAAATAAGGGAGGAGTAGTGTTCACAAAACACAGTCCTCGCGTATTAGGCCTAGTATGAGATGATAAAAACGTATACCAAAAACAAAAATAGAATAGTTATTTTACTTAATTGCCAGTGAATAAACAATTTTTTTTCATTAGGCGTATAAATCTATATATATAAGTTTTTATGCGCACCTACCACCACGTGCGCACGCAACATACGTGTGAAAAGCATGCATTTTATACATTTAAACCGGCGATAGTCAGGGATAGTCTTGTGCCATTTTATAATGGTGATTGCGAAAGCAAGACGCAAAGAAAATTTTATTCACTTGAATTCAAAAGGTAATTCGGGTGAAATTATCGGTATTCTGTGATTAGACCACGAATACTAGAAGAGACCCGGTATGGATTATTAACATAAACAAAAGATGTTTTTAAAAAATAGTACAACACCCCATTGCTGTAACAATTGTGGTCCAAAAGTTATTTCAGCTTTTAAGATTTTGAACTATATACTATCACCGCTTTCCCATGATATAGGATGTTAACAAGCTTATGGGAGAAAGTATGTTTCAGAATGCTGATACCATATATTTTTACATTTATTTTGTCATTTCTAATGTTTGATAGGTATTAAGTAATCGTCCGTGATATGAAATAAACTGAATCACGTATATTGACGCTTTCAATTGGCTGAAGGCCACTGGGGCAGAGCCCTGATGGAATTTCAAATGTGTTTTGTTTTATGGCAAATTTACATGTATCACGACCTATCCAACGACACCTTAAACTTGATGATCGGATGTGTAGCAGTTTCAAAACAATAATCACAACATTTGTGTTGGCCAATTAAATATTTAAATAATGATGATGTTTATGTGTAAATGTATCCTCGACTAAACAATTCCCACAATGTGCAGTATATCGTATCTACATAGGTTAAAATAATATTACTGATTCATTTGAACCTTAATTATGCATCAAGCAGTTTCATTATACGATTAGATACAAATTTGAATTATGATTATAACCTGAAAAAAGTCAAAGCCAAAGTCCTTTATTTTTGTTAACCTGATTTTTGTTTGAAAAAAAAAAATGTTTTTTCGCAAGATAATGACTTTTGGTACCATTTGCCTCCGTTTAATAACTGATCAACGCTGTTTGGCGAAATAATATTACATTTGGATGTTAAAAATGTAACTGGCCTAAGCCAAGTTGCGGCCTGATTCATACGTTGAAGTACAGTGCTACTTTACTAATATTACAAATGAATGTTTGTGTCTTTGTTTGGGGTTCAAGCACTCAATAACAATTCATTGGGCACATCGGGATTAGGCTGAAATTTGGCATGATGATAACACTTTCCTGGTTAAAATATAGGCTTGTGTTACCTTAACACTTTTTTCTTTCTTTTTGCCTTTTTGAATATCTCTCGTATGTATTTAGAACAATAGCACAATAATATGCCTCATTATTAAAAAATCAGGAACGAACCACGAATTATTACTGGGAAAGGTGAACGAAATGCATGTTGTAAAATGTAGACGTGGACACCTGGTGCAAAGTATTTGGCCGATTGTTTAATATAAACAAACCCATAACAGTCAGTACTGGGAACTTTAAAGGAAATATTAGGGAACAGAATACAGGGGTGTCCCGTTAATCCCCTCGCACGTTTCTACGAATGGACTGGAATCTGAAATTTCTTAGATTTTTCTTTCACATCAACAGGCCGTTCCAGTTATTGAGGTGTCGGGTCCATCGATGTATATAACTCAACTCTTGTATATAACTCAACTCTCAACTTATGTATATAACTCATGTTGATATACATCGATGGTCGGGTCAATCAGGTCAGTTCACTTTCCCGTAGTTGCGAGATCGCGATTGTCCTTTAATTTCCAACCTAAATACTGTTTTCATTTCACTTAGTAACCACAAAATAGAACCAAACTTATATTCTGCTGTTGATAAAACTATTCTGTTTCTTGTTTTAATTTATTTTATTTAGTCGTCGGATTATACTTTTTGAAAGATTTTTAGACAAAACAATCCAAATCACTGTTTTGAATGATATTGGACACGTTTCTTTAAAATTGTACTAAAACGTCACTTGCCAAATACAGTACCATAATGTGACGAGATAATACGTTATCTGAAAACAATTGGCGACCTGTTTAGTGTAATCATCTTCCTACCAACTGTCAATTATATCTTTACGTTATAATTTATTTACAATTAGTGAATAAACGGAACTAGCCGCTGTGCCCGTGATTCGAAACGGGAAGATGTACCAAAAGTCCATACTGCCTAATCCAAACACTTGTTAAGTAGATTGAATTTTTAAACAAATAGCAATCAAATTTTTACAAAAATGTAGTCTATGCCCTACATTGTAATTACCCTACTGTTTACATTAAAATATATCAATAACATAATTTTTATAACTTACTAGCTGTTGTACCCTTGCTTTGCAACGGGAAGAGGACACAAAATAGAAACATTTTAATCTTTACATCTGTTTCATATAATAGTTACACATCCGCCAACGCTTTTAGAAACAAAATTCAACTTTTATGGCTTTAATAGAAACATTTAAGTTATGACTTTTAATTCTGGTAAGTAGTAGATACCACCATTTCATCTCCCTTCTTTACATATCTCATTATTTATTATTGACATTTTAAATTTAAATTTTTAAGTAACTACTAATTATTAAATTTAAATGCATTTTTTTTTCACTTTCCTTTATATTAAATCACAAATCCTTCCATTTCAGTTTCTTCACTCACAATAAATCATTAGCAAAACTAAGTCAGCTGTTATAAACTTTTGAAATATTGCTATGCCTTATCAATACAGTCTTTTGAAATATTAAAGAAACTATATATATAAGTACTATAAAAAATTTGAAACAAATAATTTAGCATTCAATAATCAGTTGCATAAATAAACCTACCACATAGTTGTGTAAATTACATAATGTTTACAATTAACATATGTTCTTCTTATCATTTTTAATTTCTGACAACAGCTGGAGTTACATAACAATGTCTGTTTCCCATGAATCTCATGGAGAAATATGAACCTGTAAAGGGCCCCAGGGCCTCACCCTAATTATTTCCCTAAAAAGAAAGTTTCCTGCACAACTTCACGTTACGCTCTTTCCAAATGACACCAAAAACATGCAGTTTCGGAGGAGTAAATGTCACAGAAAAACCTGCTTGCGTATTAAATAAGTTAAAAATCCCTCACCTCACAATTTTGAAAGCCCGTGGAGCAGATACTATAGTTCGGCCGCTTAGAAAGCGACCTCCTCCAGCATTGGTTTAGCATTAGCGCGCAGGTCGTTTTCTAAGCGGCCGAACTATAGCTCAATATCGAAGGTGGGGGGTAGTTCTAATCCTCGGAGCGGTAGCTTGATTTTTGTCCAATTTGAGTCCAATCGGTTCAGTAGCTTATAGCTTATCTCATACAAACACACAAACACCACATCTTCTTTATAATAGTATAGATAGATTTAGTAGATGATAGATGGATAGATAGAT